GAGCATTCACCATCTTCGTATTCCCATCCTTTTCAAGCTTTCCTCTACCTGGCCCAGCCATCTTAGGCATGTTCTTCCTCACCCACGTTTTCCACCAGGCCGATCCTCTAGCAAGCGTTTGGGAATCGTGTCTCGAGGCATACGCGTCACATGGCCCAACCATCTGATCTGGTTTCCCCTCACAATTGAGACCAAATCCGGCCCCGCATACATTTCATACAGTTCTTTATTAGTGCAAATTCTCCATTGTTCCTGTTCGCACACCGGGCCATAGATTCTACGGAGAACCCTTCTCTCCCTTGCGAGTAGCCTTTTTTGGAGATCACCCAAGTCTCAGAGCCATAGGTGACGACGGGTCTCATGACTTTCTCATACACCGTGATCTTTGTTCTGTGAGAAAGAGATCGGTAGGTCAATATTTTTCGCAATGCAAAACAGCACCTATTACCGGCAGTCATCCTTGCTTTTAATTCTTCTACCATTTCGTTGTTTTCTGTGATCAGTGCTCAGAAATATTTAAAATTTTCGAACACTTTTAGGGTGTTTTTACCAATTGTGACGCGTTCGACTAATGTATACTAACTAAAATAAAAATTGAAAAAATAAGATAAAACAAGAAGAAAATATGTAAATAAAAATAATTAAATAAATAGATAATGATATTAAGTAGACGAATATATATTAAAAGAATAATAGAAAGAAAAAAACATTAAAATAATAATAATAAAAAAAATACTTGTCGCGCATTGATACATATAATTAAATCATTAAAAACTTGGATTTTAGTTCATGGTATTCATTGAAAATCAAATAGGATGTGTTTTTTTTTTTATTAAATAAAATATCTTGTGAATTTCTTGTAGTCATATTAATTACAACTAAATTTTTTGTTCATTAGAACCAAACTTCGATCTTTTGTCCTCTCCTTTGAGATTATATATTATTAATTAATATTATTATCTATTAACATATCTACACTGATATACTAGGGATTTCTTCGTTGCAGCACAGACATGACTAACAAACTACAAGTTAGCTCGTAGTTTACTACAAACTTCTTAAACAGGTACAAGAACTACGGATTCAGGAGTCATAGTGTTCAACGACAAATGACCCGATTGAGAGATACGAGGCCAAACTAATTCGACAATCGAAGATAAAGAAATTTTGAAGTTTAACGAATTTCCTATTATTGCATGCTCCTTTATTCATTAAGATGAAATTTTGTTGATTCGTTCTAGTCAAAACCATTATTTAAGTGGCTAAGAAGCAACTAGATTTGTTGTCTACGTCATGCTCTGATATCCCAGTTAATATCGTGGCTTATAGGCAGAGTTGGGAAAAATCTCATCATCAGTGTATAATAATGAGAAATAATTTAATGCCGCCAAATAAATAATATTCATATTTAGGCAAGGTCAATTAATATTGAACCGCATTCGGCAGCTAATTCTTACTGTCTAATTTATAATATCAGGTTATCTCTATTATGTATGAATAAGCTTATGTTTAAAATATATTGGCACATGAGCAATACTATATCGAAATATTTTTATTAAACAGATTAGTAAAAATTATCACTAGTCGCAGTTTTTTCTGATGTTTACGATCTACAGCCCGGCATCTTAAACCTCCAGGCTACCGACTCACGGCCACCATATAATTGATATTATTAAAAAGCAAACATGAATAATTGAAACATAAATACAAAAAAAAATTGATATTTTTCACTTAAGTACCGCCAGTTACTTTTTGTCGCTTATTTAGGACTGTTACAGGTTTATAAAATGCACATGATTTAATAAATTATTACCTTTGAAATTAAAAAAAAAATTAACTTCTTAAATTGAAATGACATTGCCTCATCGCAAATGAAGGTCATTAAAATGATGAAGAAAGGAATATTAAACAGGAAAAGAAAATGTTCCCGAGGACATGAAATATTACAAGCAATGAGAATCTTTTGGACTCTTTAAGATTAATATCGTTGGATATTTAGAATATTTGTCAACCTTAAAGTTAATCTATGGTTTAATATATATTTTTAATAAAATATGTATTCTTTAATTACATATGATTTCTAAATAATAACTGTTATTTTAATAGAAGCAACTGTTACTAAATGTGACTGGCAACACTTAAGTAAAAAAGACAAAAGAAAGAAAAAATTGTCTTTATTTTGAAAGTATCTTTGAAATAATAATTTGCCTTATAATCTAGAGGCCTCATTTGAACATATAAAATTAATTATTAAACATTATTAGCTGATATTAATTTCGATTATAAAATTAATATTTAAGAGAGATTAACATTAATCCACTATTCCTTCAATACATCAAAATTTTTCGAGTTATACAATATCATTTTATTTTATTAGATCCCTAATTTTATAAATAGTCCTAAAAATGTTACTTAATTTTTCATGAAAAAATTACCGGAAACAAGATATAACTATAGACACACTCAGTTTTAATTATATGTAAAAATAAAGTAATGTTGCAATTATACATAAATATGAATGATTAATAAATTAATTCATCTCGAGAAGCAAAAATAATGTCCACATCTTATTTTATGTTTGTGGTATCAATAAACTTACATAATTTATGTATTCATAGTATCTTAAAGTTCGTAACAGGGATAGTTTGGAACTAATTCACAAATTAATTTTAAATATTGAAAAATTTTATTATCATTCCAAGTAAAATTAATTTTTTTTTTTCTAATATAGAGCCTTGGTACGTTCCGTGAGAAGTTGCGATTGACGGCTGATAGAATTTAATGCAATGGAACAGAAAATATTTCTTATATATTATTATATTATTTATCTATATGATATATTTAATAATTTATAGTGAGAGATCTTTTTACTTCTCAATTAATTTTGCATTTCATATTTGTAAAGAACGTTTCATGGTCTTGATTCCATCTGCAGCCAATGTAAAGTATATATATATATATAATTGTAAAGAAGCTTTAGGCTCTAACCAATCCCCACCTTTAAGTTAATCAGTTAATTTATATAGTTAACACACGATGTTATAAAGAAAATAGCCTTATGATACGGTTTTCAATTAGATCAATTTATTAAGTGTTTATCATTTTGTTTCATTGTACTAAAGACTATAAAAAACTTGCGTGAGAAGTTGCGATTGACGGCTGATAGAATTTAATGCAATGGAACAGAAAATATTTCTTATATATTATTATATTATTTATCTATATGATATATTTAATAATTTATAGTGAGAGATCTTTTTACTTCTCAATTAATTTTGCATTTCATATTTGTAAAGAACGTTTCATGGTCTTGATTCCATCTGCAGCCAATGTAAAGTATATATATATATATATATATATATATATATATATATATATATATATATATATATATATATAATTGTAAAGAAGCTTCAGGCTCTAACCAATCCCCACCTTTACGTTAATCAGTTAATTTATACAGTTAACACACGATGTTATAAAAAAAATAACCTTATGATACGGTTTTCAAATAGATCAAATTATTAAGTGTTTATTATTTTGTTTCATTGTACTAAAGACTATAAAAAACGGCTATAAAACTGATTTTGTTTTGCAGGTAGGTATCGTTTTAAGATTTAAAGTATTAATTAATCTGAAATTGTTAATAAAGATTTTGTTTTCTAGAAGCAAAAGAAGTTAGTAGTCCATCAACAGCTAATACTAAACCAGTTTTACCTAGGTAATATATATATATATATATATATATATATATATATATATATATATATATATATATATATATATATATATATATATTTAAACATAATTATTTAATTGGGAATAAGGTCACTTATTAATTATTCAATCAACTACTTAAATGTTCATTGCTTCTGTGTTTATTCGAAGTTTCGATCCCGTTTTTTTTTTTTTTTTTATTAGTTAACAATGGGACCCTCTTCAAAATTTTAAAATAGATCTTCGATACCTCAGGCCAGGGCACACCGACAGACTCAGCACCGTCCACCAGCACATATATTAAGCTACTTAATATATGTATAGTATATGTATAATATTAAGTAGCTTAATATATATTGTAACCAAGATTAAGAAAGCACTGGAAACAAAGCTTACTCTACTCTCTTTTGTTTCCTGAGCCAGATGATAAAATTGATATTTTAGCATGTGCATGTACTCTCACATCTTACTGTATCTTGACTATCTTTTCTAGATGTTTGGATGTGGCATGCCCTATTATTGTATATAGAATAAGTATCTTTTTTTTGTTATTTGTATTATCTTAAATATCTTCCTTTTTATCTTTAATTGTATATAATAATTATGTTTGAATTCCCTCTTTTTCCTTGTATTTTATTTCTTTTTATTGTACATAGTATTAATTCTGTAAATATTTCTTTCTGTAAATAGATCTGTTAACCTTTTTGCTGCTTTATAAAAAAATATCCAACCTAACTCTTCTCACTTGAGCATGGTAGAATAAATAATTTATCATGGCCAAATCATGGGTAAGTTAAGTAACTTATATTCTCTATAATTATCTCTTTAGAGATGAAATGCAAGTAAAGCCAGGAGCCCAACAAATAAAAATTCCTATGGAAAATTATATATATTAAAAATTATTTTATTAACTTTTATTTATTCTTTTTTTTTTTTGGTCATAATGTGCTGGTGGACGGTGCTGAGACTTTCGGTGTGTCCCTCGCCTGAGGTATCGAAGGTCTATTTTAAAACTTTGAAGAGGATCCCATTGTTAACTTATAAAAAAAAAAAACCGGGATCGAAACGTCGAAAAAACACAGAAGCAATGAACATTTAGTAGTTGATTGAATAATTAATAAGTGACCTTATTCCCAATTAAATAATTATGTTTAAATTTACTGTTGTAAATATATATATATATATATATATATATATATATATATATATATATTTACACGCGCACACTCACATACATACACATATAAGAGATTTATTAAACTTCCGAAGTAAGTAAAACTTACTTGTTTCCACAGAGACATAGCAAAAAGAAGCTATGATCCCGAAGAAAAGTAGATAATTGAGTGACATTGTCTTCAAACTTCTAGTTCAAAGCAGCTTTCTTAGATCTGGAAAAAAAGCAAAACATGAGAAGTATTGTTAAGTATAACAGCATAATATGAGAAATAAATATAAAATACATAATACAAAGGGAACATTAACAACTTAGATCTATTCATAAAAGTAAACCTTGTCGCAAAGAGTGGTAACCAGCGGAGAACGGTCAGTGTTCTGGAGCTGTCGAGGAATGAAATTGGCAGTGGTTCTGCTACTTCGCCATCTCGTGTGCGTGTATCGAATCCCTTAACAGTCTTAGCTCGAGGAAGTTTTTACAAGGAAACAGCTCGGACAAAAGGTCGCACCGAGGAGACCATGAGTTTCGAATTAAAGATTCTCGATAGGACACCAGTTGCGTCCTTTATATCTGAGTTCCTATTTGGCGAATCATTGCTGTGGTGATACCGAATAAATTAATTAAATGGACTCATTATTAAGTATTGACAAGCAAGTTGCAATTTGATGAGAAAATTGGCTAAAGTACTATTATCCGGATATTGCATTATTCGGAAAATAATGGAGGATTTCATGTTTTCTAAATATTAAGCTTTATATAACAAACTAACTGCAGTTGAGGACGGCCTAAGGCAGGGAGACCCCTTGTCACCAATTCTTTTTAAACTAGCCATAAAATATGCAGTACGTGCTATTCGGACAAGCCCTCATGGCACGATATATAATAGATTGTCACAGCATCTAGCCTATGCAGATGACGTGGTAATATCGGCTAGATCAAGAGCATTTGAGGAGTTGCGAGGAAAACGCTGCGAAAAAGTTAGGCCTCCATATATGAAGTCAGCAAGATACCCACCAGAAAGAATGGATGAAATGATTAAATTTGGAAGCCACACCTACAGGATAGCAAACAAGTTTCAATATTTGGGTGCTCTTGTCACAAAGAATGAACACCAAGAAGAAATTAAGGCAAGAGTAGCTGCTGGAAACAGATGCTATTACGCTCTTCAAAAAACATTAAAATTTAGAGGCCTGACCAACAGAGCTAAGGCCATATTACATAAAACAGTCATTAGGCCAGTTGTATCCTATGGCTGTGATACTTGGGTACTTTCCAAAGAAAGTGAAAGAATGTTAAAAGTTTGGGAAAGGAAAGTACTCAGAAGAATATATGGACCTGTCTACGAGAACGGCAACTGGAGAATAAGAAAGAATGAAGAGCTGAAAGAAATGGCCCAAGAACCAGATCTGGTTTATTTTGTTATAAAGAATCAGTTGAGGTGGCTGGGTCATGTAGAGTGGATGCCGGTGAATAGGATACCCAAAAGATTGCTGGATGGTAAGCCTGGAGGAGAAAGAGTTAGAGGACGTCCACGATTAAGATGGTCAGATGGAATAGAGAGAGTATTGAGAGAGATGGGAATCAGAGGATGGAGGAGACTCGCCCAGGATAGGGAAGAATGGAGCAGGATTGTAGAGGAGCCCTTGTAGGGCTGTAGCGCCATGGAGTAAGTAAGTAATATCAAACTAACAAACTGTTTACGTTTGAGGGATTATTCCTATGTACAGGTCTCAATACTTCTTTAGCACTTCACTGGTTGGAAATAGTTCTGTCTTTACTAAGATGTTAAACCGCGATGTTCGCATAACTATTTTGCTTTACGAGTTTAAACTCGATCAGATCAGAGTTCGTAAACATTAAAAAAGTCTGAGACGATGTCAATGTGAGTGAGTGTACCGTTCAATGATCGTTGAAAAAAAATTCAGGGAAGAATTAAACAATTACACAAATGAAAGATTAATAATAAACTTAGATCTATTCATAAAAATAAATCTTGTCCCAAAGAGCGGTCACCAGAGGAGTACGGTTAGTAATACGGAGTACATCATAATTTTTCAGGAGAGAGCATTTTTACGGCCAATAAAATTTTTGTGGGGGTTACATTTGGACGGGATTAGGTATTTTTGGAGAGAATATTTTTTTTAAATTTTAGCTTTAAGGAACTTCTAAACCAGAAAAGATGGAGAAAACATGGAACAGACAGCAAGATTAATTGATCAACAATTTATCTTATATAATATTTCTAAAAGTTTATTTTTGTAGGTACGCTATTAATTCTTCATCAAACCCAATGATTGACCATTCATTTTGAAGATATTCTTCTCCTTCACATGCGAAAAATAGTCTTATCTTCCAGAAATTCCTGGGAAAAAACTTATGAAGGAAAAGGAACTTCATTTGCAAATAACTCAAAAAGTATGCATTTTTTTCTTGATTGTACCCATGATTACTAGAATGATTACTAAATTACCTACAATACAAAAATAAATCGTAAAAATCTATTAAAGATCTATGAAATTTGAATAATTTGTACCGAACGGGAAGGAAAAAAGTGTGAACAGAATTGAGAGTTGAATTTCCCATTTCGAACGACCCTCAAATACTAATTTTCATAGCCATCGAAACATAAAAAAATTTGTCTACAAATTGGAGCTAAGGCCTCTCCTTTCATTTTTTTTTTTCGAAAATCACGAAAAGTGTCATAACTTCAATATGCTTCTACCTATCACGAAGTTTAGCAGGGATATAGTGCTTTATAAACTATACGGAATGACACAAATTGTACTTCCTTCAATAACTTAGAACTGAAGTTACAAAATAATGACCTGAAAATAATGACAAAATAAGGAGTTTTTATTTATTTACTCTTTATAGTCGTATTAAATCGAAAAGTTAATTATACGGCCTTGAAGGCAATAATTCAGCTTTTCAACGGTTGCAGAAACATTGAATTAGGATAAAATCCTGAGGAGTTATGAATGTTTTAGTTTACGGTTGGCAAAAACATCATAATGAAAAGTGAAATCGTTGCCATGACGACTATATCAGCACAGCTCTTCTATCTGATATATTATTTCTAAAAGGTGTTTTTTTGTCGGTGTGCTATAACTTTGTCAATTCATCATCAAATCCAACGAATGACCACTCATTTTGAAGATATTTTTCTCCTTCACGCGCGGAAATGGATTGTTGTAATCGACCAAGGAAAGAAAATGAATTGCTCCCTAAGAAAATACATAGGATCTATTCATTTCCAAATTGTTTTGCTATTCCTTCACTAAACAAATTCTTCTTCATTGTCGCTCTCTTCTTCATCAGAAGTGATGTTAAATTTTGGTAGCAAAGCCAACATCTTTTTACCTTGACTTTTATACTTATTTGTGAATAAAATGGTAATAAAAAAGAAATAATTTAAAATCATGCACCTCAGACACATTAGGCCAGGGTGAACTTAAGTAAACCATCATTAAAATTCATGTTAAAACTTTATTTCTCTCCAGAATAGGAAATGAACCACGTAAGAACTTAAATAAAATGTTTTAAAACTAATTAAATCATTTTAGTTCATATTTAAATCAAATAACATATATATTTTTACATTAGAAATTTGTGTGGTGACTAATGTGAAACAGTGTGGTTAACAATGGTGGTATGCTTTAATATATTGTTAATAGTTAGGTTCCAATAACAATAAATCGACTTTTGTCACATGTAATAATTTGGGAGGCTACAGGGGTGTTGGATGTGGTCCAAAAATATATGAATGGAAGCAGTTGCTCCCTCGGGCAAGTAAAATATGGAAGGTGTCTTTAAAGACACCTTGGCCTATTAAGGGTTAAGAATGGTAATACAATTTCTTGAAAGAGGGTTGCTTGTTCGACCTGGGGGGGGGGGGGTGGGCATCCCTGGATTTTTGTCTTCGTTGGCCTTAGTCATTGGAATATGATCAAGTCTTCTAAAGTTTTTTTTTTTTTTGCTCCCTTTAAAACGATTTCTGTATCCGGGAAGCAAAAGAAAATTAAAATGAATACTCCATTCTATGCCAGAAAAGAAATTCAATGATTCCTCTCATTGGACGAAAATAGGTGGCCTAGAAAAATATTGGGGCCGTTTGGCCTATTTTACCACATGATTTAATTGAGGGGTGACTATAGTGCATATCTTGTTTAACGCTCTATCTTCGTTCTTCGACGAATACCCTAACTGATCGTTGCCGTCCTTGCTAACCGTGGGGATGGACACCTCTGGATTTCTGACTTCGTTGGCATTAGTAATATAATAAAGCCTCATGCAGTTTTTTTTGCTCTGCTTGAGACAACTTCTTGATCCGCTTAGTAAAAGTAAATTAAAATGAATACTACATCCTATGCCAGAAAAAAAAACTTAGTGAATCCGCTCATTGAACGTAAAAAGTGCGACATAAGTAGTAATTTATAAATGTGGGCACGTGTCTATGTATGACCTGGTTAACTACGATGCTATTAGGGCTGTTTGATCCGATAAATACAAGTGCCTTAATAACAAACCGGGAACTAGCAATTTCCCGCTGCCAATTTGCGCTCAGCTATTATACCATCACTAATAGCCGCTATTCATGTAATTGCCCATGTAATCATATAATTTTCGCGTATCTACATTAGAACTTTCATGATAATAAGTTAATGTCCAAAAAATGGTCCATGGCATTAACACCATTAATTTGTCATTTTACTTAACAAATATCTATCTAATAAAAAATAGAAAAAAATATATATATGTTAGTATTAAATAGAGTTTTTTTGTTGTAAAATGTCAGTATAATATAAATAAATAAATAAAAAATTAATAAATAAAAAAGACACTTATCGACGGTTTGTATGGGTGTCTGGATTCCAGATTCATTACAAGGATCATTAAAAATAACGAAAAAATGCATGTTATACTTATTTTAATTCATAAGAAAGTTTATAAGCACTGATTCCAAACTTCAACATTTTAGTTGTTGTCATTCGATTCCATGTCTGCATGAATTCTACAAAGCGATTAATCAAATGAAGGAAACAAAAGAGAAATATTATAAGCATTATTAATTTTTTCGAAATGGCGTTCCAGAACAAGGAATATAAGTAAGATGTAATGTGAGTTCATCTGTATAAAAAGATAATTATTATTTTTGAAGAAAAACAAAGAAACTAAC